TTGAGCCTATTTTTTTATTTTAAAATCAAAAGAATCTTGAATATGATAGAGAAACAATAGAGCAGTGTTGGATTTTCAAATTACCCTGTTGATGGGAAAGGTCAAGTTAGTACAGTTCCTAACTACAGCGAAGGCTATTGCAAGTAGCTGACAAATAAAAACGGGCAATATATTCATCGCGCCAGCAGTTATTTTCCTGCCTAATTGAGTTTCGAAGTACTTAATAAACGGCCAAACCGCCGTATAAGTGTATGCAACGATTTCTTTTCCGTCAAGCGTGTAGTTGTAATAATCTTTAAATAAACCGAAGACCGTTCCTTCGCATATCAAAGGGCTTCCAGAATGACCGAATTGTACGGCATAGCTTTCGGGTTTGCAGCAGATGACGGACTCTTTCACCTCTGTTATGACATTACAACCTTCCTGAGGCAACACGAACAAATTCAGGGCCATCATTCTTTTGATATATTTCTTTGAGAACGTTCCGTAACCCAACGTCACGCATTTATTTTTCGATTCGACCACTTTAAGAAAAGCCTCATGCAAAGATTTAGGAGTGAACGCGCCATACCCCGCGATTTTCACCGTGGAGCTTTCTTCAAAAAAGCCCAGTACCGTTATGATTGCTATGTCGTAGTCACTCACTAAATCGTTGCCTTCACCTTTGTGAGTAAATTTTAAATGCGGTCTGAAGGCCATTGTTCCGATCTCTTGACCCGTGCTATCGTCGAGCTGCACCACGCCCGCGATCGCCCGAACTTTCTTTAACGTGACAACTTCCGAACCGATATAGAAGCAATGGGCAGGCGCTAGTACATCTTCCGCCGTTATCAGTACGCCTGCACAATGTGTTTCTCCGCGGAAATAAACGAAGTGCGGATATTCACCTTTTGCAGCAATTTTCGCGCCGGTTTTCCGTCGACCTTCGCCTTTTCCAATTACGATAGTGACTATGAACGTTATAAGAAGCCATTTAATTCCTCCAATATAAAAAGCCAGCGTTTTTTTAATTGAGATTAACAAAAAAATTTGGAACAAGAATTTGACTGAAATTTATGATAGTAATGATCAGATGTTAGAAAACCAATATCATGTGGAAGCTGAATACCGTAATTTTTATTAGAAATCTGATAAATATACATGAATAATAATGATAGTACTGTTTATTTAGTAACAAATGTATATGGCTGATGACTCGCCAATACTCGGTGTTGATTCCTGGGTTTTGGGACTCACATCAATCAGAGAATGGTCGTTATGTCCTATGTGACTATGTGAGTGCCCAGATGGTCAGGATCCGGCACTCACATAGTCAAGGGGGTTTTATTATATCTCAGTCCTATTTGAAAGTTTGCCCCCTTCCCAAGGGTTGGTATTAAGTACTTTCTTCATGAGCATTCTTTGGCGCTCTGGTTTTCATAAGTCCCTTTCTTCATCTAGGATAACCCGTCGTTAGTTCCTGGTTTCGATAGTCTTTCAACACCAAGGCCATAGTTACCTCTTTGAGGGTTTTCCCTGCTTTCCCACCAACTAGAATCACCGTCCTGGTGAAACATTATGGTAACAAGTCAATTATTGGTTCAGATATTGATTTATATAACCTGAAATCTGCACTTGTAACCTCGAGTACATAGCGCCTATCACTGCTGGCCGGCAATTGTGCACGATTTGATATTTCTCTATAACCCTCTACTAATCAATTTGAGGGTAGATGGAATACTCGATATTTAGCCATCGGCCCTCTCACAGCACGCCAAAAAATCCATTCACTCTCATTCACAATAAAGCAACACTGTTCCTTCTAAAATCGGAAAAGGAAATTGTCAGACTCGCTGCGGTAGTCAAGCTTAATTCTAATATCAGGTTCCAACGCGCTCTCTACATGGAGCAACATTTCTCTACACAGCGGACATACTGTCATTCATCATTTATTTTGAAACGTTTTATTTTACGTTTGAAATCCAGAAACTTCACAAAATCTTGTTTGCGCACATTTTGGTTAGTTTTTCTAATGCTGTGATGAAATGATCGTTCCCAGATTTTTACACAAGATAAAACTTTAGTTTTTGAAAGTCGCTGGTTTTAAAAAACAAATATGTACATCTGAAAAACAAGTAGAATGGTGTTATTAAAAATAACTAAAAAATACACAAAAAAAAGCGTTTACAATTTTTCTACAATAAAAGGAAAAAAGAAATCTCTACTTACGAGGCTTACTAAGTTAAAAAATTCTGCTACGTTAAGAGAAAGTTTAGGGAAAGAGCCACATAGTATGAGTGTACAGGACGTTAAATTATTATGAGATTTTTGTTTTTTTGTACATGTATAGGTTTAGAAACGGCAAGCAATTATAAGAAAATCGAAAATAACAACGAATAAATATGTGCGTTTAAACAGGAGTCATAGGGATTTAAAGCAAAAATGATTTTTTTCTTGAAATAGACGACAATAAATCCAAATATAAATCCTAATATTTTGCTTTTTTCCATAGTAACATACTGTTAGCTGTCAATGTGTTGCCTCATATGTTGGAATTTATTAAATATGAAGGCCGGAAATCTATTTCCGTTTTAAAGTACATGATAACATTACAGTGCAAGAAATTCGGTTCACTAGTTATACATAGCATACAAAGCCAGAAGGTGACGAAATTTCCTTAAAAAATCAATAAAACGAACGTACTACTTTGAAGTTAGCGTTCTAACTTAAGACAGAATTTTAGATATGGTTCTGGTAAAATATAATCTGAAGAATGTATGTTGTTACATTCCTGGTTCTTAATGAAGAAAATGCGATTTTTGTTTCATCAGTTGAAATTTATGTTGGCAACGTGGGAATTAAAATTAATCTGAAGACTTTGTGCCTGTGTTTAGCTACCGGTTGAAACTAGACAATTTGAGTGACAGCATTATAACGGCAGGTGTGCGTCGAAATGTACGAGTAGAATAGTGTTAATAAAACAATGTAAAATCAGTCAAGATTGCTGATTTTTTAAATTTATCATTTCAAGCTGTATCTCGTATGTAATTCGAGTTGATGTTTCGATCCTTCTAAAGACAAAGCAACACATTAGTTTAGGCAATTTTGTATTGCAAGTTCAAAAGCGTGTCTTGAATATTCGAGAAGATAACACTGCAGCATGGCATTTCTACATTAATCTGTTGAAGGTCAAGTTAGTACAGTTCATAAATCCAGCGAAGGCTATGGCAAGTAATTGACAAATAAAAACGGGCGATATCTTCATGGCGCTACTTTCTTTTTGTTGCCTGCGTATTCTCACCTCGAGGTAGTCAAGAAACGGCCAAACCGCCGTATAAGTGTATGCAACGATTTCTTTTCCGTCAAGCGTGTAGTTGTAATAAACTTTAAATAAACCGAAGACCATTCCTCCGCATACCAAAGGGCTTCCAGAATGACCGAATTTTATGGCATTGCTTTCGGGTTTGCAGCAGATGACGGACCCTTTCTCCTCTGTTGGGATTTTACATCCTTCCTGAGGCAACACGATCATATTCAGGACCATCAGTTGCTTGATTCTTTTCCCCGAGGACGTTCCGTAACCGATCGTCACGCATTTATTCGATTTGACCGTCGAAAAAAAATACGACTGCAAAGATTGAATGGTAAACATTACATACGGCACCGTTTTCATCATGGAGCTTTCTTCGAAATAGTATACTAACGTTACGAGTGCTATGTCGTAGTCACTCACTAAACTTTTGCCTTTACCACTGTAAGTAAAATTTATATGCGGTCTGAAGGCCCGTACTCCGACCTGTTGACCCGTGGTATCGTCCATTGTCACCACCCCCACGATCGCCTTAACTCTATTTAACGGGGCGACATACCTATTGACATAGAAACAATGTGCAGATACTAGGATTTCGTTCAACGATACCAGCGCGCCTCCACAACTTATTGCGCCATCGAAAATAACGAAGAACGGATATTCACCTTGTGTAGCCAATCGCCCGCCGGCTATCTTCATACGTGCGCCTTCTCCAGTGGTCGTGCAAACTATGTACGTTATAAGAAGCCATTTAAATAGACCAGTATAAAAAGCCAGCGTTAGTTATTAAGATTAACACTTATATTTTAGAACAAGAATTTGAAGTTAAAAATAATAATTTGCAGGTGTTAAACTAAATACAATCTCATGTGGAAGCGTTATTTTTAAACCTGATAAATACGTGGAATCATAGATACATATGAATAATTAATCTTTATGTAAGGTATTGGTTCAGATAAAAAAGACAGTGTCACTAGCGGTATTGTATAGCAACCAATACCTTACATAAAGAATAATTAGTTGAAAGACGTTATTTAATCACAATCAGACCACGAACTCTAATGTATTTAATAAGTTAAAATGAAGTATACCTTCACTAAAGCTCTCCTTGGCCATTTCATTTGTCGCTGAGAATCAAATAGATTACACGTCATTTGAAAATGGCAAAAAGGAGGGAAAATTCTAAAAGGTGGGGTTGAGATGGGAAGCTAGTGCCCGAGTGGATCGAAGTCAAGATAGCTCAAGTGGTAGAGGAGCGGCGTATCTAGCCGAAGGTCGTGGGTTCGAATCCCGCTCGTGACACTGGCTTTTTTATCTAATATATAACGGCCGGTGTCTGAAATGGCCCTACTCACCCAAAAAGTAAATAATGAACCGTGTAAATGGAAACTAAAAGATAGAAGTATATCTACTTGGCCTGGAAGTAATATCAACAGTGAAGCCTAAATAAGTTTTTTATTTTAGAATAACATACTGATCATAATTAAATCTCTTGATTTTTAATTAAAATATATTTTAGTACAGCCTGTAATTTGCTAAAAAATATTAAGTAAGGGTTAAAAAAAAAGAAAAGATAATTCTGTTTAAGAAATACTCAGCAGGTTACCTAAAAGGACACCACCTTTAAAGACGCACAGTCATACACATACATAGTTGTAATTTAAAACAAACAAAAGTCATTAGATCATTAAATTAGTTAACTGAACTTTCAGGTTTAATTTGTGAACAGCGATAGTTTACCATCTGTACCCCACCTATATTATTTTTGTGGGGTCGCTTTTTGGAAAAGCATCGAGAGAAGTTTTAGTTTTTGCCTAGATTCTCATGAACCAAAACGTTAATATCTAATCCTCCAGGACAACATTTTACGGCCCATTTTTGTGCCCGACATGTAGCGATAGGTTGCCCAAAGTGTCCCACATAATTGAAGTGTGTCCTCCTTTGGCTCCACATGGTGAGCGAGTAGGAATGCCTAAAAAGGATACCACCTTTAAACCCGCACAGTCACACACATGTAAGTGTGTATGTGTCGGTGCGTGGGTGTAATTCAAAACAAACAAAAGCCCTTAAATCATTAAATTCATTGACTGAAATTTCAGGTTTAATTTATGTACAGCGTTAGTTTAACATCTGTACCCCACATATTTTTTTTTGGGTCGCTTTTCAGAAAAGCGCCGAGAGAAGTTTTAGTTTTTGCCTAGTTTCTGAAGAGCCAAAACGTTTATATCTAATTGTCCAGGACAACATTAGATGTCGTCCCCATTTTTATGCCCCGCATGTAGACATAGGTTGCTCAAAATGTCCCACATAATTGAATAGTATCCTCCTTTGGCTCCATATGGGGAGCGAATAGGAATGCCGCCCGATCTAAGAATTAACCCAGCGAATCTTCGGAGTCCCCTATCCCAATTTATGGAGGAAAGTGGGTAATTCTGTATGTATAAATCTTTGTTTATTGCAGGTAATTCTATTGGTTTTAACTGTTGTGTAAAAATGTATATATATGCGCGTGAACGTGTGTGTGTAGTCAAGAGTGTCGATGACTAATATCAAGTACCGTCTATGTTAGTTACCTATATGCCTGATAAAGGGTGATCGAAGAATATCTCTCCAACTCCTTGCATGAAAGGTAAGTAAAAAAGAGGAAATCGAATAAAAGTAAGCGTGTTCAGGTTAAAACTGCTTGAGTTGGAAGCTTAAATGACTTTGTCGTTGTTCGTCACTTGTGCCTAACTCCGATAGTGGTGGCATAAGACAAAGTCCGCCTAAAACATCTAAATGGGTGATTCTCGCGGCTTGTTTGGCTCGGTATGTACAAACATGTCGCATGTATGTATATGCTTGGTATGTCAGTGTATGTACACAAGTCAGAATTGAACCATATATAAAAAAGGAATAAGCTTAACTATTTCAACTGGCAAGATACTACAATACCATTATATTTAGTGGTCCGATTTAGCAAATGCTTTTTTTTAATTAACATTTTTCTGGTTTTGGTTGAAATGAAAAAGTTAGTGTCACGAGCTTCGAACCCACGAACTTCGGCTGACATTAACTTTTTTATTTCAACCAAAACCATACACAAAAGTGTTAATTAATTGAAAGAAGTAATTTGGTCAATCAGACTACTAAATATTATGGATGTAGTAAACAAAACGAAAGTGGCCACTTCACATGTTTCCGAGAATCGAATCATGAATACTCGACATTTGAAAAATGGTAAAAGGAGTGAAAATTCGAAATTTTGTACGTTAAAATGGGTAGTTGGTGTCCGAATCTTGATAGCTCAAGTGGTTACAGCATCGGCGTATTGAGCGTCGTGGGTTCGAATTCCGCTCGTGACAATAACTTTTTTCATTTCAACCGAAACTTTACATAAAAATTTTGATACTACAATACGTTTTACACAATATGATCAATTAAAATGTCACGGCCGGGATTCGAAACCAGAACCGCTATCATGGCAAAAACTAGTCGAATGCCCTAGCAACTCAACCACAGTAGTCCCTTTATTTTAAATATTGATGTTTTTTTGTTTTTGCACTAGTATTTATTTTTTAATGTCAGATCGGATTGTGCGCCAAGGGACAGATGAAGTCGATAATAAAGTTTTACTTATACACAGCGAATAGGAATGCCGCCCGATGTAAGAATTAACCGAGCGAATCTTCGGAGTCCCCTATCCCAATTTCTGGAGGAAAGTGGGTAATTCTGTGTGTATAAATCTTTGTTTATTACAGGTAATTCTATTGGTTTTAACTGTTGTGTGAGAATGTATATATAGGCTTAAATGACGTTGTCGTTGATCGTCACTTGTGCCTAACTTCGATAGTGGTGGCATAGGAGCAAGTTCTGACGTAAAACATCTAATCGGGTGATTCTCGCGGCTTGTTTGGCTCCGTATGTACAAACATGCCGCATGTACATGAACGGTATGTGATGTATGTACACAAGGGCATATATGGTCAGAATTGAACCATATATACAAAAAGAATATGCCTTAACTTTTTCAACTGGCATGATTGAGTTAAGCGTATATTTGGAGTCCCGCTATTTTGGAGAGTCAGATAACTTTTCGCCTCATGAAAAACTAGGCAAAAATAAAAGTTTGTGCTTTGGGTCGTTTGCCGAAAACACCAATAAAAATATATAGGGAGAACAGAAGTTAAACTCACCTTGTATAATTCTTTCATAAAGAGCTGTCCTGTTTTTTTTGTTTACAAAAGACGTTATGCTCCAAATTTTTCCACAGAGTCGGCGTTTAGAGTTTGTGGCATCAGGTGTGCTGGTTTCATATGCTTATTTGCTTAATTAGCACACCGGTTGATATGGAACTTTCTCAGATACTCTTTGAGTCTGGAAGTTGGTATCTAATTAGATTTTTTTTCATTTTGAAAATTTGTTTCTTTGAAGAAATAAAGTGGCAAAATTAGTAGAACGCACTACGCTAATGTATCACATATGAACAATACAAATAAACCATTATCATATGCTTTTTATTTCTGAGTATTGCTAAATTTAGAAAGCTGGAGTTTAAAACGATTTCGTTAACATGGTTGATTTTTTCGGGGATGTTTTGCAGTGGCCTTGTCAAAAGTGCAGAATATGAAAAAAAAATTATAAGGCGGAGAGCTCATCAAGGAGAATTTCCGTACATTGTTTGCATCCGGAGCAAGTACTACAAGTGCGGCGGTGTCCTCGTCAAGTTGAACAATGCGCTGACTGCGGCCAGTTGCTTCCAACTAAAGAATGAGAGGGACAGGAAGACATTGGTAGCGATAGGGGGCACTGTCCACCTTCAGGATAGAACCGGACAAGAGATTGTAATTTCGTCCTTCATTAAGCATGAAAAGTTTCTTTACATAGAGAATAATAATATCGTCGAGACTCATTACGATATCGGACTGGCAACGTTACTATACTCGTTCGAAGAGAACCCCAACTTGCAACCTTATGGGTCTTTTCCGTTTGAGACTGCAGAGGAGATGAAGACCTATTTACTTGATATCGCCAACCAGGGTAGAAGGTGTGTGACTGTGGGTTATGGATTTTTAACGAAAAAATTGGCCGAGGCACCATATTTACACGTTGTCGAGGTAAATATTTTGCTGAACGATAGTTGTAATAAGGTAGAAAACAAAACGGATCCAGTTATATGTACGAAAGCCGTTCGAAAAGAGACGAACACGACTGGCAATTATGCCAATAATGGCAAAGGCAATCCGCTCATTTGCAATGGTAAAATCCTTGGTATCGATCGTGGCTTCTCCATCGAAGAGGATCGTGTTATAATCATATTTACGCCGATTTGGCCGTACCTGAATTACTTTAAATTACCTCTGGCAATTTCGTCCGGAAATGTTTCAGTGCAAAGTGTCGTTCTTCAAGCCTCTCTTTTAACCCTAGCCGTAATTTATGTAGTCAGACAATAAAATATTATTTTCCCATTTTCTTCATTCTTCGTCCTAAAGTTTATGAAAGTGCGCACGTTTAGAGATGTTTCAGACATGACCAACTGCTTGATTCATGATTCACTGCTGTTCACGGAAAACCTAAAGTTCAACTGATCACATTTTTTTAATTTTCAATAAACTTATTTTCTCAAATGGCGTTTTCCGATCTATTCATCAGCTTTGAATCATTTGTTTTAATTTTTAAAACTTTATTATCGACTTCATCTGTCCCTTGGCGCACAATCCGATCTGACATTGGAAAATAAATACTAGTGCAAAAACAAAAAAACATCAATATTTAAAATAAAGGGACTACTGTGGTCGAGTTGCTAGGGCATTCGACTAGTTTTTGCCATGATAGCGGTTCTGGTTTCGAATCCCGGCCGTGACATTTTAATTGATCATATTGTGTAAAACGTATTGCAGTATCAACATTTTTATGTAAAGTTTCGGTTGAAATGAAAAAAGTTATTGTCACGAGCGGAATTCAAACCCACGACGCTCAATACGCCGCTGCTCTATTCACTTGAGCTATCATGACTCGGACACCAACTCCCCATCTCAATCTACAACTTTTCGAATTTTCACTCCTTTTATTATTTTTCAAATGTCGAGTATTCAGGATTCGATTCTCGGCAACATATGAAGTGGCCACGGGGTTAGTGAAGTTATATTTCGTTTTATTTACTAAATCCGTAATATTTAGTAGTCTGATTGACCAAATTACTTCTTCCAATTAATTAACACTTTTGTGTACGGCTTTAGTTGAAATGATAAAGTTAATGTCAGCTGAAGTTCGTGGGTTCGAAGCTCGTGACACTAACTTTTTCATTTCAACCAAAACCAGAAAAATGTTAATTAAAAAAAAAGCAATTTGCTAAATCGGACCACTAAATATAATGGTATTGTAGTATCTTGCCAGTAGAAATAGTTAAGCTTATTACTTTTTATATATGGTTCAATTCTGACTTGTGTACATACACTGACATACCAAGCATATACATACATGCGACATGTTTGTACATACCGAGCCAAACAACCCGCGAGAATCATCCAATTAGATGTTTTAGGCGGACTTTGTCTTATGCCACCACTATCGGAGTTAGGCACAAGTGACGAACAACGACAAAGTCATTTAAGCTTCCAACTCAAGCAGTTTTAACCTGAACACGCTTACTTTTATTCGATTTCCTCTTTTTTACTTACCTTTCATGCAAGGAGTTGGAGAGATATTCTTCGATCACCCTTTATCAGGCATATAGGTAACTAACATAGACGGTACTTGATATTACGTCATCGACACTCTTGACTACACGCACACGTTCACGCGCATATATATACATTCTCACACAACAGTTAAAACCAATAGAATTACCTGCAATAAACAAAGATTTATACATACAGAATTACCCACTTTCCTCCAGAAATTGGGATAGGGGACTCCGAAGATTCGCTGGGTTAATTCTTAGATCGGGCGGCATTCCTATTCGCTCCCCATATGGAGCCAAAGGAGGATACTATTCAATTATGTGGGACACTTTGAGCAACCTATGTCTACATGCGGGGCATAAAAATGGGCCATAAAACGTTGTCCTGGACAATTAGATTTAAACGTTTTGGTTCATGAGAAACTAGGCAAAAAATAAAAATTTACCTCTTTCGGCGGTTTTCCCAAAAGCGCCTGTTTACGCCAGAGAGAATTTTATATATTTAATTTTGTTTATTTTATCTAATTTCTATGGAGACGAAAAACAAAAAATGGTGTAGGGGTCCAGCTATAGCCGCGTGGTTAGCGTGAGAGACTCTCGGCTTGTAGACCCCGCGGACGTGGGTTCGATTCCCGCCGTCGTCTCTGGCCTTTTATTGACGATACCCTTCCCCCCCAAAACGAATACGCATAACATATTGTCTGGCAGTGGCTAATATGCAGAGTACATAAAGCTATTAAAAAAAAAAAATACTGCTACGGCTGTTGTGAGTCGCTGTGTCTGCGATATAATGCTCTGCGAAATTTTTGACTTTCCTGATACCCCCTGAATTTACCCATGTGGAGAAGTGTATCTGAGAATGAATAGCTTTAATGTGGATCTGTGCCGGTCACATAATCTCGGATTCGTCCCTCAAGATGACTGGTCGGGATGGTGTCGACTCGTTCGGCGCTTGCTTGGTCTTTTCTATCCACCCAGGGAGCCATAGCCCACTTAATGTGGGACTATGGTGACAATGCGTGGTACAGTGTGGCCAAAGTGGGGGGGGGGGTGCAACCTGAAAAGGTGAGCCTCCTGTCCTCGGTCACTTCCCTTTCTTAATCCAGGTCCTTCGTACTTCTTTGAGACATCTCCCAACCCTTGGATTCAAGGGGGGTATCCTGGCACAACATTATGTTGTAGTCTTGGGAGCGTGGCAACCTCTCTAAAGCACAAGCTGGATTCGTGCCGGCCTCCGGGTCGGCAGCGGACGGCGGGTGCTTTATTCGAGCCCCACGAGGGTTAAAGTACCAATCCTGTATGCATAGACGGGGAAGGGTGCATAACCATCTGAACTACTGGGTAGCATAAAATGTTCCAAGTCCAGCCCTGCTGCATGGGAATGGACTCGTAGTGGCTTAGTGGCGATGCTCCTGGCGAGAACTTAGTGTGAACCTGTTGCTTGGAGGTACCGTTCGTGGTTTCCTTCCGAGTGCAGTATTCTTCTAGTGGGCGGTTAGAAATTCCATTTTAAACAAAATCGCGGCCGGAGCGGATCCGGAAGTTTCTTATGCTGGAGGAGCCCCAATACTCTGGGAGATAGAGTCGCCTTCTCTATCTAGGGAGCCGGCGGGACGACCCAGCCTGATGCATTTCAGCCATCCGAGGTTACCCTTTGCCGTGCAGCACACGGTCTGGTGCTTAATGCAGGCCCATCCACTCGGAATGAACAAGCGGAGGGTGAGGTCCGTCTTGGCCTTCTACACCAACGCTTGCGGCTGTAACCACCCGGTCGTGAGCTCAGGTGTGTCATCCCTCATCTTGAGAATTAAAACGTCCGGTAGGGCCAAAAAGGCTAGGTACGGACGTTAAAGCTCCTCATGTCCTTTTAAGGGCCCTGAGTAAATACGGGAAGCAATGTCCTGATACAAAGTTCAGGACATGGCTAGAACAGTTTGTGAATGGAATCAAACAAATCACTGAGGTTCTTATGCTCCCGCCGAAAATTTGTTAATATTGCACACTTCCTGGCTAGTTGGACTGAAATGATTCGAAAAAAAATACATAGAACAAATAGCACTTGGATGTTTACAGTTAGATTCGTAAAAAACCCTTATCTTTTTGAAGACAAACTGCAGCAAGCATCCGACATTACTTGAAAACGCAATTATCGAGTTAATGGGGTTTAAATTCAAAAGGATGAGACTCCTGTGAAGCACACACAGCCGTTGAGCCAGTTCCCCCCACGCCTTGTATAATCTCATCTAATCCACCTCTGGAGAGAGATTATCACGGTTTGACGCTTTCACCCGGGCCAATGAGCCAGCCATGGCGACTTCAAAGAAATCGTCGGATGGCGTCTTCGATCGAAACAGAATCACGATTCAGGTCATTTGGATAACTTCAAAGAGTAGTTTTATGATAGGTGAAGGTTCCCTCTTTGAAACTGATGAAATACAATTTCGAAAACAAATGAACAGTGGCACTGAATGGATTAGAAAAGCTGAGAATTGCTGTATTTCATGTTAACCGCTTCTAATATATTCTTCTGAACCTATTGCAACCGCATTAGTCTTTTGAACGTAATAAACGGTACCTGTTTTTAGTTTTTAATTTATAGGTTGAGAAGTTTTTGAAAAACTAACTACGAAGAAGTTACACTACTAAGATAACACATCGCAACATTAACACCCGATAATTATAAAAAAAGAATTAGAAACTATTAAAACTTTAGTAAAAAACAATGGACATCAAGAAATATTTATTGATAGGTTGCTAGATAAAAGAATAAAAAAGTTAACTATAAAAGAAGCAACAATAGGGCTCAACCACCCCACCATAAATGAATCCATTAGTTTTCCGATGTTTGCCATATATTGGTGAATTAAAAAAGTAGCTAAAATTCTTAGACGAGAAGGTTTTAAAATGGCTTTTAGAAGTACGGGTTTTCTTAAAAACACCCTCTCAAAACCTAGAGATAAAGTAGACAACTTGGCAAAAAGCGAGGTTTACAAACTTAATTATAACGATTGCGACATTAAATATATAGGTCAAAGAGGTGGAGAAATAAAAACGAAACTTCAGGAGCCTAAATCGAACAAATTTTCGGAATTTAAGGACCATCTAAAACAAACAAAACACGATTTCAATTTAAATTTAAATACAAGAGTGTTGCATAGTTTCAACAAAGGGAGGGAACTAAATTGGTTGGAGAAATTTGAAATTAAAAAATGTAAAATTGAACATTGAGTTAAATGCATTAATATTAAGGCGGATTTTGATCTACCTCCTATTTTAAATATGTACATAAATAATATTAGACGTACATAAATATAAAAAAATAAAAAATAAAATAAAATAATAAAATAAAAATAAAACAATAATAAAACAAAAATAAATTTTTTTACGAGGGTTCGTAACAGCAGAGGTTATATTAACCATCGGGGTGCCGGTGATTTTGAAAAAAAGCCCATTTGTAAGTACGTCGGGTTCGAATGCAGGGCCGCTGGAATTGAACCCGGGACCTTTACCATGAGCGCCGTGTCAACGCCTAAACCGTTGCGGCCGCCGTTGCACGTGCTTTCTTATTTCACAATGGAATGATCAAAATTTGGTTATACTTTATAGAATTTTTTTTAAAAAATAGGTTATTCAAAACCTCCTTTACTGAGGCTTAAGAATCTATATTTTATGAGGTTTATTGAAAAATTTGAAGAAATGTGGGTTCTTATAAAATTAATAATCGTTTCGGATCTCTTTATTTTGGTAGGGCATTTTCTCTCAATAAACGAAACTGAAAATGCAATAATCGTTTATAATACACTAGAAAGTCAAGTGTCTTAAAGTCAGCGTCTTAAAAATGAACAGTATTGATTCCATCCTATGTATCATAATTTATACTGTCGACTTTCTTTGGGGGACTTGATAGAGCAATTTTGTCTTCCAACCCGATAGGGATAAAAGAGGCGGCCACAAGGCCTACTGCACCTTGACCTAAATAGATCTATTGTGCTCCTCTGTTAATTATAACTCACTGGCCAGCTTCAGGCTATTAACCAGCCTCCACAGCTTTGCCTTGGTGTAGGATCTTGCTTGTGGTTTTTTGTCCTAGTTGCAAGAACCTGCACCTACACATACCTTCACAGAAACATAAATTGTGTTCTGCGGTCCTCTCCTTTTCCTGGCAGAATCTGCACAGTCAGGAGTTATACACCGTTATACACCCGGTCTCACGGGATACGGCGGATGCTATGATTATGCTGAAAAGTCCCTCGAATGCGTGAGTAGAGGCGGATGGGAACGGGTAGTGAATCGGTTGCTCCTACTCGAGTATGCTTTGCACGTAGGTGTATGCGGAGCTCGATTGGAGGCTTTTACCGTAGGCGGTGGTTAGCAATTACACTTTAAACGAAACCGCGGCCGGAGAGGATCCGGTAGTTTCTACGTTAAAGAAGCCCCGATACTCTGGGAGATAGAGTGGCCTTCTCTATCTAGGGAGTGCGCGGGAGACCGAGCTGATGTATTTCGGCTTAGGTAGCCCTTTGCGCGGGCATACGGTCTGATGCTCAATGCAGACCCGACCACTCGGAATGGGCAAGCGGGGAGCGAGGTTGCCTTGGCCCTTCGTGGCTGAGCTGCCTCTACACCAATGCAGTAACACTATTCTGTCGTATGCGGAGGTGCGTCAGCTCTCATCTTGAGAATCGAAACGTCCGATAAGGAATAGGGTAGGTGCGGTTAAAGATCCTCACTGTCCTTTTTACGACGACCGAGTATGCGGGAATGTATTGCCCCGTCAGGAGTCCAACCAGAATTCTAGCCTGAAGAAATCCTTAAGGAGAACAGCCCTCTGTATATGACCTAGATGACCTAGTTATCTACACTTTGAAACCTTCCTCTGAAAGTTATAGTATTTTTGACAATATATAATACCATCCTACACTATACTCTTTTATGGAGGTATTCCGTAGTCTCGTCCCTACAGCTCACTGACCTCCCAACTGCGTCCTTCCTATAGGCCCAGCTGTGTTCAGAACCCTAACCCAATGATTGGATGGGTGCCTGGATGTTATAGACTTATAGAGAATGGCACCTAAGCATTCTTTATGAAATTACCCGGTTTTAATCCATTGCTTATTCCCTGTAATAATATTTAATTCGACTTCAGCAAATACAAGCCACGCCCCACAAAGGAACATTCTTGGTCCCAACCTGTATTTGTTCCTGATTTTTCTACACATTCCAACGCCACAATTAACGATATGACACGCAATACACCGTCTAAGAACATAGTAAACTTATCAAAGAGTGGTGTAATAAGTAGAGGGCAAGAATGAAAGAAGAAAAATACAAACAGTGTACATCTACATTGAAAAAACGTGTTTGCCTTACATGGTACATCAACAAATAGGAACTATCGTCGAGTTAAGTCTTATACTTAGACTAGGTCTTGCATGTCATACCTAGATAACGGGTTGAATCCAAGATTTTTAAGTTCGAAATCTGAGTCGACCTTCAAAACTCCACCAAGTTATCCAGTATCCAGCCCATCGTATTGTCGTGAACTGTCAAAGCTCGTTACCACGTCGTCAGCGTCAGAACTGATCCGTTCCTGATGCCAAAAGTTTCACAGTAGTATTTCGATCCATCCTAACCCTACCGCCTAAGCTCTCTATACTTTTTGCCATCTTGAGAAAATGGTCTCGAAAGACACACTGGTCTCTTAATCCTTCGGGTCGTGCAATGCTCGCCATACCGTCAGTGTTATGACCGAGAGAAACAGATATTATGCAATAGTTGTATTATGTATGAGTATGTACACCCTCAAAATAAAATAGTTTAAAAATTAAGAAAAACACAACTATTCACTTAGCACAGAAATGAACCTATACGGTATAATTATTTAATCCAACACATGAATCCAAGGCACGATATAACAGTTAACATATGCTTTTATCTGAATGTTCCCATGTTTATGAATTCTTTTTCAAGTCAATTATCATGTTCATCAAGAAAACATGCGTTATTATTATGCGCTATTCTTTTTCTGTTGTCGGTTTGCAGTGTGATCGGAGTGAATGAGCTAGAATCCAAGATAATCGGTGGACGCAGAGCTCACCAGGAAGAATTTCCGTATGTAGTATGCGTTCGAGGTCAATTCCTATGCAGCGGTGTACTTGTGGATTTGAAGACGGTGCTGACTGCGACCCGTTGCTTTTATCGTGCGAATAGGTTGGTATCTTTGAGCAAAGTGCAAGTAATCGCCGGTGCAGTCAATCTGGCTGACTCGACTGCACAGACAATCGGCGTATCGACCTTAATCAGACATGAAAAATATCTCTTCATAAGAACCAACAGTTCCTACCGGACCGAGTACGACATAGGCATGGCACGCTTACTGTTTTCCTTCGAAGAGAGTCCGACGCTGAAACCTTATTCCGTATTTCCCTTTCATTCGGCAGAAGAGATGGAAGATTCTTTTCATGAAACTCAAAAAGCGGGCTCTAGATGTTGGATGATAGGTTTCGGATTGATTGGAACCAAGAAATTAGTTTATTCCATGCAAGTTATCGAGATATATATTTTGCCTGATTCGGGTTGTCAAAATATATCCGGGAATGTAAATGAACCTGTCATTTGCGCCCAGTCCGCTGAACCAGAAAAGGTTAGGGCGATCGGTGGCGATTTCGGCAACCCGCTCGTCTGCGGAAGAAGATACTTTGGTGTGGATCGAGACGCCATCACAATAAACAACATATCTACAATTATCTTCACACCGATTTGGCCATACTTGGAGTACTTTAATTTAAACCTGAAATCGTCGGGAACAGTTCCATCGCTTCGTATCTTTTGGTGTTTGACAGGTTTTCTAATCCTTGCCATAATATATCAATTGTAGTTCTAAATAAATATGTATGCATTTTCCACGCGTTAAACTATCACAGTCATCTAAAGTTTCTAATAAATTTTTTTTTAGCGTCCAGGGCTAATCCTTAACTACCAACATATGATACTGTACTTTAAATGTTGGTAAGAACAAAACACAGACAAATTGAGCACTTGATTTCACTGAGGTCGGTGTAAATTATAAATTTGAAAATAATATTTACATCTGGAGTGGGGGGCAAATAATACATGAATTCGTCCAATTGGCCTTTCTGCAATAATTTTTGAAGAATAATCTTATAAAAAATTATACACACGTAATAGTTTTGAGGATTCCCCATAGGATTTGCGGGGTGTTGAGACCCCTCGACTAAGTCAAATGCATAGAAAAAGTGGGAAACAATAGAAAAAGCGAGTGTGTGACGGAGAAATAGAAAGGGAGATAGGGAAAACTGAGGGATTAAGAAAGATAATGATATAGAATTTAAAAGAGAGAGAGAGAGAGAGAGAGAGAGAGAGAGAGAGAGAGAGAGAGAGAGAGAGAAAGAGAGAGAGAGAAAGAGAGAGAAGAGAGAGAAGTAGAGTCCAGAGAGAGAGAGAGAGAGAGAGAGAGAGAGAGAATGAGACAGAAAAGCTGAGTCAGTGTGTGAGAGCGAGGGAAGGAGAGTCAGAGAGGGAGCGAGGGAGTAAGGGAGAGAGAGAGAGAGAAAATGAGAGAGAAAAGCTGAGTGAGTGTGTGAGAGAGATAGAGTGAGAGAATGAGACAGAAAAGCTGAGTCAGTGTGTGAGAGCGAGGGAAGGAGGTCAGAGAGGGAGCGAGGGAGTAAGGGAGAGAGAGAGAGAGAAAATGAGAGAGAAAAGCTGAGTGAGTGTGTGAGAGAGATAGAGTGAGAAGGAGTGTCAGAGAGGTAGAGAGGGAGAGTGAGAGAGAGCGAGAGCGAGAGAGAAAGGGAGAAAGAAGATGGAAATGGAGGGATGAAGAGTGAATTAGAGAAATTGCGTACATTCACGGCGCCAAGTTCATCAGTTTCGCACGAACGGCATGTCGTGATGGTTTAGTCTAATGTCTGAGCCGTGATAGTATTCTCTTCGTTTTTAAACCAAATNAAGAGAGAGAAAGAAGTGAGAGAGTGGGATAGGAGAGATAAAGAAAGAGAGAGGAGTGAGAGAAAGCGAGATAGATAGAGAGAGAGGAGAAAAAAGACTTTTAAAGGTTAAGTGCCATTTTTCTTTGGTATGAAGTACTATGAAATGCAGGCTATGTATAATTTGTCTTTTTGGTTTTAAAAGAAGGAAAATCACACTATAAGAACACTTACAAATAACGGTAATAATAAAAATAAATAAATAAAATAGAGAGAGAGAGAGAGAGAGAGAGAGAGAGAGAGAGAGAGAGAGAGAGAGAGAGAGAGAGAGAGAGAGAGAGAAAGAAAGCGAGAAACCACAAACCCACCGCTGATGATAGCGAGAAAAACCTAAGAGGACCTACACACACACATTCGCACACACACGTACACAAACAAACACACACACTCTTTCTCACTCTCTCTTTGTATTATTCTTTCACTCACTCTCTCAAACTCCCTCTCTTTGTCGCTCTATGTTTTTCTTTCTGTCTACCATTCTCGTCCTCCCTTCTTTACATCTTTTCACCCACAAGAAACGAGTAGGGATGCGGCCAATTAGAATGAAAGACCCTTCGTTGAGCTTCATGTCAGGAGTTGGTTAACCCATGCAATAGGGATTTGATTTCAGAATGATAAAATCGATATCATCACTGATCGAACCAGACCGAACATGACAAATGGACTCCATATGTTTCATTCAGTGCGTTTCAGTATATAATTGATTCATTCACACTTCCAGGGCCAAACCGCGTCTAGGTTCAGAGGTGTTGTTGCTTGTATGAAAAAAAGAGATATAAAGCATTTATGTTAGTGTATTACCCGATTGATTGTAGTGACGAAAATAAATGAAAACAGGACGAGATTAAATGTGTGTTCGTGTAAGTAAGAAGTGGCGACATTTAATTCCAAGCCGAAATAATTGACGTACGGCCAGATCACCGTGACGATGGCACCTTCGTACTCTTTCTGGTCGATCTTGTATTTGGAAGGCCCTTTGTTCAAGCCGAAGAATTTGCCCTGGCATGCAAATGTAGTGCCAGCATCGCCATCAGTTATGCCCTTGTCCGCAGATCTTCTTGTCGCGATGCAAACCTCGTTAGCTTCCATGCCCGGGGCAGTACGACATTCGCGTTGAGGAAGTACTCTCATTTCGACCATTTTCAAGCTTTCTGCACCCCCTGACACTTCATCTGAGACGAAAGCGCCTGTGTTGCCCCAGCCCAATCCGACGCAAGAAGTGTCTTCCTCGATGATAGTGTACAAGGCGTCTTTTAGGCCTTCCGGTTTACTCGAAGCATAGACCGCAGTTTTCACATTTGCGCTTTGAACGAACGCTTTTTCGAGAGCGCCTATCGCTATGTCGTGTCCACTGCCTTTCCCCGTGTATTTTTCGTGCGTTTTGAAACGGGCTAATTTCGACTCCTGATAGCCCGTCTCTTTTGGATCCGCGATGCTCAAAGCACCCGCTATTACCGTTACAGTCGACGCTTCGACTTTTTGATCTCCGTTATAAAAACAACTTGCGGCCGTTATGATCGCATCCAGCTTCACCAGCGTCCCTCCGCATCTCGCATGACTCTTCAGGGCGACGGTGTATGGAAATTCACCTTTGCTCGCATACTGACCCCCTATTATTTTTAAGTCGCCATCCCCTAAGTCTTTTCCAGCGTCATCCTGCGATACGACATTGTCAAACAGAAAAGCCAAACAAAAGATTGTGTTAGCGACAAGCCTCATATTATACAGCAATTTGAGAAAAACTGCTCTAATTTCAATTTCACAACTTAATCCTTCCTACATAAGAAGAATGTGCTCCATTTTTTCTAAATTAACAATCACATGTTAAATTTACCGTATTGGACTAAACTGCAATACGAATGTGTAAACATTTCAAAAAGATACTTTAATATTAGTAATGTTCATTATGATATAATTTTTACATCCATTACAGTTCGTGGTCCGACTGACCAATTAAAATTTTTCAATTAATGTTTATGAAAGGTCTTGGTCGACATAAAAAAGTCAGTGTCACGAGCGGGATTCGACCCCACTCGGATACCAACTTGTCATCTCAACTTCACCTCTCGAATTTTCCATCCTTTTTGCCATTTATTTGACACCAACTTTTTTATCTCGAACAATATCTTTCATAAATATTAATTAATAGAAAAATGTTAATTGGTCAATCGGACCACCAACTGTAATGTATTTAATAATTAAACTGAAGGATATCTTCACGAGAGCAAGAGGCATTTCATTTGTCGCCGAGAATCGAGTAGGTTACACAGCATTTGAAAAATGTCAAAAAGGAGGGAAAATTCAAAAAGTTCGAATCCCGCTCGTGACACTGACTTTTTATCTCGACCAATACCTTTCATAAATATTAATTAATTGAAAAAAATTATGTAATTTATATACAGGGCGTCAACTTACTTGTGTCACCTCTGTATTTCTGAAAAACTGCTTAACCTTTTTTATTTTTTTAATTACCTTTGTTCAAATATATACATTATGTAATGAGAGAGAAATATTCATGATATTCATCTCTATTGTTGCTCTCCTATCCTTCTGAATAGTTATTTATGAACCATTCATAAGGAGCTACTCGTGTCATCTCCGCTTCAATCGCCTTACTGGGTTCTGGAGATGGGTAATATTGTACATAGATCGAGCTAATGTGTCTCGATGTGAGGATAGTTTTTCATGGAATTTGGAAAATTTAGTGAGAATGAATTTATTAACGAAGGGGATTTTGAGGCCGTTGCGAACTTGTGTAGAAGTACAAAGTAGAGAGCGTAGACTAAGATGTGACTATGTGTTTGGAAGGACGCACTTTAGTTTGTTCAGAAGACTCACATACATCACACGGAAAAAACTGCTCAACCTAGAACAAAAAGTCAAAAAACATTAACTATTAAAAAAAATAAAAAAAAAAATTTAAATTAAACGTTCATTACAAACATCTTGAGGAGTAAAACTCATAGGTGTGTAGACCGCAGACAAAACATACAAGTAATTATCTTCTATTACTAATTAGAACGGATATATTTATATAGATCTATGATGATGTTTTATTAGGTCACTGCGTAATGTAGATTGTGGTAGATAAAAAAATGGATAGATGAATATATCGAGAGTGTGCACATATATGGTAAATAGAGTTAGTTCATTCGTTTATGGCCATTCGTAAGAGTTATTTATTGAATCCTAAACAATTTCCTGCAATAAAGTGATAATTATTAATAAATTTTACCAAGATATAGATAAAGAGAAATATTGTTAGATGGCTTATAAAACAAGATAAATAGAAATAAAGAAAGAGTTAAAGAAAATGAGAAAGGTAATGAAAGTGAAAAAAAGAATGAGAGAGAGAGAGAGAGAGGAGAGGGAGAGAGAGGGAGGGAGACAGAGAGAGGGTGAGAGGAGAGGGAGATAAGAGGTAACATAGAAATGGAGGGATAAAGAGTGAAAAGGATAGTGCGGAAATTCACGGCGCGGAGTTCAGCAGGTTCGCAAGACAGGCACGTCGTGATGGTTTAGTCTATTGTCTGAGCCGTGATTGTGTCTTTTCATTTTTAACCGAAATTTTTAAGTAAATGTGTATAAATAGAACGCGAAAGAGGGGGCGAGCGAGAGAGAGAGGGAGAGAGAGAGAGAGAGAGAGAGTGAAAGAGAGAGGGGAAGAGGGAGCTAGAGAGAACATAGAAATAGAGGGATAAAGAGTTAAATATAAAGCGCGGACATTCACGGCGCGAAGTTCATCATGTTCGCACGAACGGCACGTCGTGATGGTTTAGTCTAACGTCTGAGCCGTGAGTGTATCTTAATTTTTAATCCAAATTTTGAAGTAAATGTGTATAAATAGAAGGCGAAAGATAGATAGATTGATAGATAGATAGATAGAGATATCGGGTTGTCCGGAAAATAATGCAGGATTTTAAGTTTTCATTAAAAAAAATCTATATAAAATATTCTGTTTACGTTTACAGGATTACTCATTNAGATTTTTTTGTTTAATACCAAAATCCTGCATTATTTTCCGGACAACCCAATAGATAGATAGATAGATAGATAGATAGATAGATAGATAGATAGATAGATAGATACATAGATAGATAGATAGATAGATAGATAGATAGATAGAGATAGAGATAGAGAGAGAGAGAGAGAAAGAGAGAGAGAGAGAGTGAAAGAGAGAGAGAGTGAGAGAGAGTGAGAGAGAGTGAGAGAAAGAAGAGATTGATTGATTAATTAATCATCGCTTTATTTAACAATCGCTCAAGGTTTGATCTCTAGGACCACTCTTACACCTAAAGTGTAATTCGATTTTATAAACTTTACTCAATCTTCTATACAGAAAAACGTGAACAAATTAATTATCTCTTACAAACGGTATACTTGTTTACAGTGGATTAGCACATTAAAAAAAATTATCTTTAAATTATAACAAACGTATCTTCTGTCAGAAAATAAAACAAACAATAGACATTTGTAAGGGTTTAACATTATAAACGTAAGTGTCCGTTGTAAAGATACATCATCAACATCTTAACATGACAATGTTTGTACTTCATTGAGGAAAAAAAAATTAATATTACAGTTTAATACTTTTGTACGTATTTTGATATAAAATAATTATTTTAGTTTTTTCTAAACATACTTATTTTGTTACAATGCAGAATTTCAATTGGTAATTTTGAATACACTCTTGCACTTTTAATTGCACAAGAATCATTAAATATTGTGATTGTATGTTTTATAATTTGTAATTGCTTCGTTTTATATTTAATGTTTATATTATGTATATCAAATCTTTATTTTATATATTTATACATACGTATGTAGGTTTTTCATTTTTAACAGTTGAGGATGATACAAGCTAACTTAAAATCAATTAAATCATTAATTTTTTAAATATATATCTTACACACATATTTACACATTTAGAGAGAGAGAGAGAGAGAGAGAGAGAGAGAGAGAGAGAGAGAGAGAGAGAGTGTTTGAAATGTTCCAAATGCTTTCTTTTAAAACGAAATATTTTTTTAAATATACAAAGTATAAACCATTTTTTGTGAGTCTTATGTTGAGCTGCAATTATATTTTTAAATGAAGTTTATTTGTCGACCGTTTCGCCCTCGATTCTTTTTAAACATAATATATGACAAACTCGTTCATGTTCATTTTTTCAATGTTTCTTTAATTTACTGACTCCCGTTTAAAGTGTTTTTAAAAAAACATATATATTCATAGTTAAGTCATTCTTTACTTTTTGTCTTAGCCAACTAATGTCTATGCCTAATTTTACCATGAAAACTGAACATATGATATTGCATCGAATTGAATGAAAAATTCTAAAACAATGTACGGTGTTTTTTAAAAATTACTCTCAATTGATTTTTTTTTCTTTTTTTTGGGTTATGAACTATGCCTATTAGCCATGTGACAATTCGTATATGTGTGTTCAAATTTGGGGGGGGGTTATTGTGAAAAAAGGGCCATAGGCGACGGTGGGAATCGAACCCACGACCGCGGCGTGAGAGTCTCTCATGCTAACCACTCGGCTACCGCGGTCCCCCTACTCTCAATTGATGCTGATGAAGAATATCTCTATTTATTAACGTACTAATTGATCTATATTAATTGTGACCTAGGGTAATCTCTTTTTAACATGAATATGCTTTTGGACAGAATATACATTTTTTCATTAGATTAGGAAGGATTAGTGTTTGGTTGGGAAGACGGGGCTATGGAAAGGTTAGGAAAGCCAATGAAGGTTCACGATTTAATGATTACCACTAAAACGGACAAGCCAAGGGAAGGCAAGCGCGAGCTTTTTTAAGCATCAAGGTATGTTATATACTAGACGTATATTTTGTACAATAAGGCGATAAATTTAAAACGTTATACAGATGAATTTTACACTGATATCTTACGGATGTACAAAATTTGATTTGCAAATCAATAAATAAGTGAAAACGTCATTAAATAAATTAGTGATAGTATTTATTGCCGTAACTAAAAGTAATCCTTCCCAAAATATTAGTTTTTTTAGTTCTACAGACAAAACGTAAATGTTATTGTGTATTTAAATTTAAATAAATAGTACGTCGTTGTATGAACTACTGTGGTTAATAGATCTGTTTACATGATCAGAAAAAAATGCATTACTGATGATTTTAACATCAGCTATTGTTAAAAACAATCCCAGCGAGACTTTTGTTTTATTCTTGAAATTTTCGTCGAGCATAAAGCATAATGTTCGGGTTTGGAAAGGGGGAAATTTCTCACTCGAACCGATATCGGTTAAGAATTAGGAAGGGTGCAATTGAAAAGTCAGCGATCCCCCGGCCGAACACCATTTACAACACACGTGTGCCACGAGGATAAAAAACACGTGTCGGCTCCGGTTTTCTCTTTTCCACCAAGATATCTTACACAACAATTCCAACTAATTTACGATCCCTTGAATATTTTACGTTATTGAACCAATCTAATATTAAGATTGTAGGCGCTACTATATTTACTTAATCTATGTGTTTTTAGTTTGCCCTAAATTGTAACCAAAGGGATTATTTAAATTGAATAATAATTTTTATGTAAAGTGTGGTTGAGTTGACAAATTAGTTTTACGTGCGGGACTCGAACCCACGACCTCCCAATCTATACTCCGGTGTAGGGGCGTCGGTGGCCGCAAGGTTTAGTCTTTGACACGGCGCTCATCACTGTAAGGTAAAGGTCCCGGGTTCGAATCCAGCGGCCCTGCATTCGAACCCGACATACTTACAAATGGGCTTTTTTTCAAAAACACCGGTACCCTGAGGGTTTATATGACCTCTGCTGTTGC